GCGGAGGTACACTATAAAGAGAGTCACTGTGTATACTACTTCGCTATCTTACCATTACATCTAAAGAGCCGGTTTATGCCGGCGCTGGGACCTACCCCCTGGGATCTTCATGATTCTTGCAGAACATGTATATTCCTTATTGGGCATGATCAGAAATGTGATGTTTGATTAAGAATGTAGGTTTAATTGCAGAATTGTAGGCGTTAATTGTTACACAGCTGATTAAAATGTTGATAAAGAACTCCGTCTTAATATTAATGGCCATTTGCGATTATAGAAAGACGACGCACGACACGAGACATGGTTTATAGCAGAAGCAAGAGAAGGTTTGTGTCCTGGATATATGCTTGATCGATTCATGTTTGCTTCTGACCTCGGAAAATTCTAATTATTTCGCGTTGGAAATAATCCAAGTTAAGCGGGATAGTATAATTATATTATTTCCCGAGTTATTTTGGCGACTTCTTTTTACAAAATATGTGTCCTCACTTTTGCTTATGCTGTAATTATGACAACATTCACAGCTCAGCCTATCATTCATTAATTCACCTTCACTTATTATTTGATCCAAATACTTTACTGTATCCATCCAACGTGGGAGATTATTCTTCCAGATGATGCAGGCACATAACGCTATTCCGTTGTGTTGAGTATGAATATTGTCCTACATTAACACAAACCAATCGATAAAGGAATCTTTTCCCGCTAAAACAGTCTACCATACTATTTGCTTTTTGTCAAAGGCAATGTAAAATTCCAACGAACTGTCATAGTGGAAAGCTTCAGCAGTCTTCGTACTCTCAAATTTCAGTATGTCAGCCGAGCAGTCTACTCCAGAGTTTACATCTCGTTCTCGAAATCCAGTCAACCGTCCGTCTACAACTCCTTCTCCCCTCCGAGCATCCGACTCTCAAGCGTCTGCCCGTCCCCCCACTCCACAGTCTTCCATCAGACCAACCCCTATGTCAGAATCATTTTACATTACCATGCCCGATGAAATGGTCCGGTCCGACTCGCAGTCGTCTGTGTGGCTCGGGAACAATACATTCAATTCTTTGAATAGACGTCCCTCAATCGCCGAGGAAGATGTGTGTTATCCATTAAGAGAAGAAGGGGATGGAATTGATTATAAAGCCCTTGAACAGTATATCAAAGGAGAAGACGAAGATAACGGAGAAAACCGATGTGAGTCTGATGATGTGAACGAATATAATGAAAAAAGTGTCAGGGAAAAGGATATGGCGATAGTTGACACTTCGGGTTCGAAGGGATTGTATCAGTTTGACAGAAATACCGAGGTAAGGAGACGTGAGCTACATTGGGAGCAGACTATTAAGCAGTTGTGCATATATATTGTGAATTGATTTATATTTTGATCGATCAACGATATAATATAGGCCAGCGATCTGAAAGAAGAATTTCGGTATACCTTCTACTCGTCGGCTTCCGGTACGATACGTGCAAAGACGCTTGGATCATTACCACCAAAGGGTACCTCTATTACTGACTTGCTGAAAAAAAGCACCTTCTGGATCGATATTCTTTCACCCAGTGATTCTGAAATGCGGGAGTTGAGTAAGGTAAATTTAATGCTTTCAATTATTTATATCTATATTTACCGCGCGGCATGCATCATTTGCATAACTTGTCTCGAATTTATTATTATTATTTTTTAGATATTTCGAATCCACCCCTTGACTATGGAAGATGTTTGTGCGCAAGAATCGCGTGAGAAATGTGAACTATTTCGAAATTATTATTTTGTTTGCTTTAGAACATTCGAGATGCGAACTCAACATGACAATCGATTGGAGGCTGTGAGCATGTATAGTATAGTGATGAAAGAAGGCATATTGACAGTAAGATATTGAAGGATAAATCTGGATTTATTATTGATGAACGTACTTATGAACTGTCTGACAGTTTCATTATAGGCCTACACCACACGCTCATAACGTCAGAAATAGAATAAGGGCATTGAAAGATTTTCTCAATGTTACACCAGGTATGATACAGGAATAAACATTACATTTATAGCAATTAAATCTCTGTTGCTCCTGTTTGATTCAATCTCGGTTTGTTAAAATCTTTTTTCAATCACTTAAAGATTGGATAAACTATGGAATCATAGATGATATTACGGATTCGTTCGCTCCAGTTATTCTTCGTGTCGAATCTGAAGTTGATACCATCGATGACTTGGTATTAGCTCTTACAACCAGAGACACTTCTGACATGCTGTTAAGAATTGGTATTTGCAGAAAGCATGTTAACAGCTTACTAAGATTGATGGGCTCAAAGATCGATGTCATCAAGGGTCTCATTAAAAGATCGCATGAAAGAATGGCTGCAAATGGTACCACGAAAGGTGGACCAACGGACGTCACTTTGTATCTGGGCGATATCCAAGGTTAGAATTAGAAGCCGAAGTCTAAGTTTTGGAACGGGGCTTTCCTTCGATAGCCTTTAATTTTATTGATATTGTTATTAGTTCGCTTATTCGCAATGTTTATCTTTGTTACTTCTTCAAGATCATATTATAACCATGCTCCAGAGTTTGTATCATTGTGAGAAGATTCTTGCCAGATCTCACTCTAATTACCTTGCTCAGACGTCTGTCGAACTTACTCAACTGTCGAATCAAGCAAATGATGCGATATCCAGACTTACTGTAATTGCCACTATACTTGTGCCAATGAACATAGTTACTGGTAAGAAAGAAAAGAAGATCGACATAGTTTATATGATCGTGTATGCACATTGCAAGAGACTTAATGATTGTGTGTATTTAGGTCTATGGGGAATGAATGTGAAAGTACCTGGTCGAGAAGTAGACGACCTCAAGTGGTTTACGGGGATAGTGTGTTCGCTGGTATTATTTGGACTTATCTTTCTAGTTATCATTAAAAGATCCGGGCTCATCTAAAACTTACCTGTCATAGTAGTATGTTTCAAATTGTTTGACAGTTAAATTTAAAAATTGTGAATACTTATAATGGAATGTTAACTTGCTTGTGTCTAATGTATTATTAGAACTCGTCAATCATACAATGTGACCACAAACACACATGCATAAAATTAGAGACTGCATTAAAATTTTCTATTTTTATCTTTTTGCTAAATGTGATAGAGATTCGCAATTTTTCAATAAACGTACATGGACTCATTTACATACTGCATGATTTCTCAGACATATTTGGCGATGAAGATTTCCTCATTTGTAAGGCAACTCTATGGCGTCAGTTTCATTCGCAACGCGAGAAAAGACGTTTTGTTTTTTTTAATCCAATTCCCACTGGTGACTGATTTACAAGTTGTTTTTTTTACTCCCCAAGATTCAAATTGAAAATGTTCTCACATCAAATCTACACCCGTATCAACTATCGTTACATAGAAAATACTATCGTTTGTTATTAAATGATACTTTTTACTATCTATTAGAAAAAAAATACTAAGGATTTGATGACAATTCATCCAAACTAGTTACCGAACTTATTCTAATGTCCGGTATATACGTTATACGTCGATTAGGAGATATTGGTGAGGTAGAATTTGTTCCCTCCAAATCATCACCTGGACCCCATCCAAATAATGCACATGGCAAGCAACATCCCGTACAGCAGAAAAGAATGGTAAGTGTAATAAATATTGGAATAAAAACCGATGACATCCTAATCCCCGTATGACCATCCAATCGTGCGGCAAGTAATCCCACAAGAGCATAGAATAATGCGCATGATACGATAAACGCTATACCAAATCCAACTAAATTTGCCATTCCTCTGCTCTGTAATGGCTCAGCTTTCCTCAATGATATATACTGTAATAGAAGCACCAGCCCGTACTTTAAGCCAACTAAATAAAGAGGGATGAACACTACTCCCCAACTGACAGTAATGGTCTTGTCGATTCTGAGTACAATCAATACAGCAAGAGACAGTCTGATTATAAACCAGAAGAGCATATCGAATGCCAGTATTAGTTTAGCCTTCACGGATGGAAGACCGTCGGCGTCTAGTGCTTTTGCTGTTTTCAACTCTACGAGATATTCCATTACAATTGGATACAGATTAAGGAGCTCAATAAAGAAGTAAGGGGCAAAGACTACAGCCGCAGACCATGTAATCGACTCATCCGCTTTCAGTGCGATAAATATTTGGAACAGCAAAATCAATACTGCATAGGCAATCAACAGAGAGTTTCTAACTCGATGAAGGAATCGCTGTTGCCGCATTCTATTTTTTCGTGCTTGTTCTCGTACGTTCGGATCATCACTGTACAATCCTTCATATTCCTCTTCGTTATAATTATCACCCTCTTCGAAAGGGTCTCTTCGTACTTGTATCAGCAAAGCAATGAACACCACCACGTCTACTATCCATATCGGTAGAAACACTACTGTATAGCTCCAACTCACTTTGTTGTCCGTTCGTATAGCAAGAAAAGTTAGGAAGAGGACTATGAGAATAATAGAAATCGAGATAATGGTGAATAGCATGCAGAGAGGTCCTTCGATGTCCGGGTCGAAGAGAAAACCTGCCATAGAGTCGAGCATACTGATTCCCATTTCTCCATATTTGTCATAAACCGGTCGCTTCTTAGGGTCACTCAATATTTCATAGGCATGTGTGATAGCTTTAAACTGCATATTCGGGCAGAGAGTTGGTAGGCAAAACAGAAACATTTGTTAGTCCGGCATGCTTTAATGAACGTTTTTGTATTGCATCGCATATGATAAAACCCGGGGAGGGGGAGAAAACAAGATGCAATTACTGCTACTTTTTACCAACCTCATCGGTAGCATTCGGATTCTTATCCGGATGATATCTCAATGCCAATCGACGATAAGCCTTTTTAATTTCTTCTTCGGTGGCAGTCTTAGACACACCCAGTGTATTATATAAAGCATAGGTATCTCGTTCCATCGCTGTGTTAAGCCTGACCAAGCAGGAAGAGAGATGGTAAATAAAGTAAAAGAATCGCTCTGACGGCGATCAATGACTTTGTTCGACCAGTCAAACAGAGGGTAAGAGGGGGGCTGAGTAAGCCTAAGCCAGCTCGTTTGACCAGACACAGACGAAACTGTCTAATAAAATAGGTGTTATCTAACACACGGAATAAAAAAAGCTATAGCAACGCTTCTTGTAGGCGGATAGTAACAGTTCCTGCCTCGAAGTGATATATATAGTTGAACTTGTCAAACGAATACGAGTTGCACTTGTTGACAAGGCAGAAAAAAAAAGACGGTTTCGAGACACAAGTTCTTTTGTGTTATTGACAAATTGCTTGGACACGGCTGTTTTTCGTTAAATTCGAGTTTTGATGCAATTGATGCAAATGATTCAGCCTTGTACGACGAATCCTATAATTATACACAGCATCTAGTCGCGACACTTTGTCTGGAGTTCACAGAATGAAACTGTTTTCTTTGAAATCTTTTTTAAATGAGGAAGAGAGAATGTTTCTACAGGTTTGACTTTTTTTTTTGAAATCCGTTTTGGGGTGTCCTTTTAAAAGAGACGGACAATGTTCGTGTAATTTCCGATGATAACAGAGGTTCAAGTTTATTAACTAAAAAGAGGTTGTGTCACACGTTTAATCGAGATGGTGCCATTTATGCATACCAACCAATCAGCGATTTATAGGCCCATCTGTGAAAAGGATGTTCTACACACGCGTAAGCAAGTTTACGGCTGGATTCGTGGTCTAACATCCAGTCTCCGAGTTTGTTTATGCCATGTAAACAACATGACAAATCCTTACGGCTTTGCAAACGCATCACTTTCCACATCTCATAATCATTTCCATTCTGAGCCGAACAAAATGTTATAATGAAGAATGTACAATCTTTTTAATAGTCATCATGATCTTAGCAAATGAGTTAAACCAGTGACTAATTTGTATGAACCATGTATCAATATTGACGCATTAAAGATAGACAGCATTTTTTTTCTTTACTTTTTGTTTCTCTTGAAACATCAATTGACTCGATGTTCAAGTGGTTTTTTGTAATTGTTTCTACGTCTATTATTATCTTCCCTTTCTCAGTCATTTGAAGCCTATTGGTTAACCTTTTCATATTCTGCGTGCAGTATTTGAAAGCCACTCACCCCGGGCTTTGTATGGAAGCTTGTCACACTAGACGGATCAGGGATCAACAAAGAGTCGAATATTGCTTTTAACAGTAGCAGATTAACTCGAAATGGTTAAACTATAAAAAGTCTTTTGCCACCTTGAGGGGTCGAGTGATTTGGTTAAATGAATTTGCGCATATATCATTAATATTAACATTTATGCAGACGTAAATAGACAGTTGGCTAATATCAGGGCTTAAAATGCATTAACAATTCGAAATCCATTCCGTTCGCAGAAAACAGGTTGGCAAACTGGGTCTAAACACAATCCACTGAACGAATCCAAAGCATACAACTAAAATCTAGTTAGCGCGCTAACGTTTGGTGCTGCGTTACGTATAACTTCTCCCTACGGGTCAAAATCTCGAGCAAATAATTAATTGTCTATCATTTGATTCATATGGTAGTTGTAAGTTTCCAGTAATTTGAACAACTTCAAATGACAATAACACGTTTATTAATAACTCGGACGTTTGCCCAAAAGAGTAAAAGAGGTTTGGCCTTCATACGTTTCCCTGCAACTTGGTAATACCAACCAATCTTGAATTGAAGCAGTGTAACACTAATGGGACTTACGTTCACAGTGCTCTTCGTTTTTTTAAATTGCCAATTAACAAGGTTAACTAACGAAACTGCCCACATTTACACGCATACATTTGTACATGGTTTAAATACATTTTTCACATATATAAGGAAAATGACGCTAACGAATATTTGTAATGCATTTACTCACAAACCGTTGGCGAGTTTTAAGAGGACTCTTTGTTTCTATTGAATTTAGTCACAGTCTTACTCTGAACGTTTTTCACTATCCATTCATCTATCATTGTTCTAACAGAGCAGGCAATTGTACTTTAGACACAACTTACTGGATAATACTCATGCAACTCCTTTGAAACCTGACTTTTTTCATCCACTATGATGCTTTCGTTAAGAACCTTCCTTATCTTCTTTTGGCGAAGATCGTAATTAAATGTCTAATGACTAATGTCGATATAGTATGAACTGTTTCAAGATTCTGAGAATGAGTTAGTCCGTTTCAGGATACCAATACAACTTTCAACATGCCCGAAATAGGTGGAATAATAATAATATTGACATTTTCTTGTCACACAACAGATCACAGGTATCACCAATAACTTTGGTTCGGCAAAAGCAGAATGGTTTAGAACTGGGATCAACAGCTTGACCCTTATGAAGACGACTAATTAAGCAAAAATTTGCCACCTAAAAAATTATTAGTATTAGATAATCAGCAAGCAAATCAAGCTATTTAGAAATCTTAAAAGCGGATTATTTACTCATTACGTCATTACAAGTTTGTTTCGTACGCGTTTACTTTTGTCACACTCTATCACAGGTTTAAAGTGCGAGATAAGTTGGGTTCCACATTCTTAGACAAGAGGGTGAAGGGTGAGGTGAGGGTGAGGATGAGGATATCAGTAAACTTATGACCAAATCTATCTCAGGTAAACTCTTTCCCAACGTGTAAGCGCCTGGCAAATAGTTCAACAAACAATAGCCTACATAAAGCACATGCAAAATATTTAACTGCAATATTTATTATTTACCCTGACACAGTCTATTTGCATACCGTGCATAAGACCTGTCTTTGCGTTTCTTATCGAATCTATTAGCTAATTGCATAACGTAAACGTGCGTACGCATCAAAGTATACCTTATACAATAATAGATCATACTGAGGAAATTCCCGAAATATTGCATATTAGATTTCTACTAAACTGCTTATCTATATAGGTCTCATCAACGTACATGTCTTTGAAAAAAAAAACAAACAGCTGGACAGGCGTCTTTTAGCTATATACAAAATTTTGTTGTAAAAATGTTAGAGGCGATTATATCAATTTGAAGCTTAAGCTTGCATGTAAATTTAAAGTTTTGGCTTTTACATAATAATAAATTAGGAGAGAAGGCGACCAATTTTTTTAGTTGTATTTAATATTGAGTTGACCGTTCATTATTTGAGATACCAATCTCAAGTAATATTTTAACTTTTGTCAACACAATTAACAAACCCTTTTTTAAATGTGTAGAAGCATTGTCTATGAACTAGAACAGCGTAATTTTATTTGTTTATATTTAATCGAGCAAAGCACATGTTAGTATTTGTTATATAAAATAAACAATCTGGTTAAGTAACATAACCCAAGTTTGCAATTAACCTCTTTATTGCCCCTGGAAACCGAACATTTTACATAAAATTTTTGAAGAACTAAACCATAAAGTGATCTTCATTTTTTTTACATGAACTCAGTCCGGGTAATTTTTCCAGGCAATGTATGCAACAAAATAATTGATTCCTACTACTACACACAGTGACTTTAAAATGCATAGCTTTACAAACAAGTAAACAAATTAAGTCTAATTTAATAAAGAGTTATGCTACTAGTTTGTTATAAAAACACATCTTTAACTCTTCGTTATTTTAAGTTTCTTGTTGAAAAAGCGCAACAATTAATCAATTTTTTACTTTTGGGACCAATACATGCATTCTTAAAAAACTCCACCAAATAGCTGGCTTTTATCAATAGTTAAGTATAACATTAGATATAAATTGAGAATATTCTGCATAAAACGGGATACTAATACTTAGGCTCGTACTGTCAATAAATTATCACTGTTACATTATAATCAGTAATAATAATGGTAAAAGAATTAAATTATTAACTTACCATAATATACAGTTTGGGACAAAGAATTTACCCTCAGTAAAATTACAACAAACAAATGAAGTAAGACTCAGAATACCTTATTTAAAACTGCAAAGCATACAGATTTTTATTTATAAAAATCAGAATAGCATTTGTTCACCATTACTTCAATAATTGCCTCACAACATCTTTTTTATTGAGCTTACCAAATGTTTTACAATTAAATCCAGAATACTATCCCACATTTCTACACCCTGCCAAAAGTATAAATACGGTACAAGATTTTACGAGTAAAACATATAAAATATCGAAATTTTAAATCGACTAAGTCTCTGCATTTTCTCGAACAAGCACCATAAAATTTATATCATTTTAAAGTCAATAACTGCAGTTTTAAGTGAGAGATATTAGCCACTTTTAAGATACACAGTGAAATTTACTTTAACGAAGATAGCTTATAACGAGAATAATTACTATTGCATGTGAGAAGGATATGTAAGTTTCACAAGTTAATTAGCTTTAAAATAATAGAAATTTTATAGGTATTTGTTCGAGAAAATGTGGAGTTAGCGATTTAAAAATTTCGATAGTTTATATGTTTTACTGGTAAAATCTTGTACCGTATTTATACTTTTGGCAGGGGGTGTATCATAAAACGCTAAAATTTTGCAATCTTTACCTTTCTACAGTTGTTTTAACTATGCTTCATGGATTTAATATTAGATTTATATCAGGACTATCAGTCAATGACTAGGGGCAAAATTTGCTTGAAAAAATTATTTAACAATGGAGTTTGTATGTTTTGGATTGCTGTCTTGTTAAAAGTATTAGACTATTCTAAACATCTGTCATATTCAGGTAAGCGTCTCTGAAGAATTCTGACATATTAATATATTGGCCCTGTCATTATTTATTCTAATAGTTTGAGCGGTACATGGTTAAACCACATGACTATTGAGGGCAAGATTTTTGTCCACACTGTATATCAATAAATTCTTGGGTTATTAAGCTTGCTTTGCATTATATAATAATTGCTTTATGTATTTGTACACTGATTAACTTCAAGGCTGTTTGCAACAAGAATGATATGGATTTCTAACCCTCTCTAGCGAATAACAATTAAAAACGCGACTAAATGTTAATGGACGTAAATATGCACTATTCCGTCTATTTGCATAACAGTATGCAGGTAAACGGGTGTGACTTACATACCGCCTGTCTTCTCAATCGCTTAAGTGACATAACGGTGCAGTCTAACTATGGTTTCGTAAATCATCTTTGGTTCTCATATTTGTTCTTCCCAAACATCTTCAATTGTGGCCGTCTTTTTTTTGATCGCATCTCCTTCGAAATGACGTTGCATTACTGTTATTATTATCAGTAAATACAGACTACTGGTTTGTGTAAACGTTCCAGACAAAACTCGCTTGTGTAACAGTATTTTGATATTTTCTTCAAAATGTCCCGACTTTCTAAACGTAAATAGTCAAACAGCAACCAATATTTATTGTCATAATAGCAAATACTGACTATACAGTATTTGTAAAAAAAATTTTCCTTTTTTAGACTAAGCTGGGGCTAGCACCAGCATCAGCCATAGATTCATACAATTTTGTTTAACGTTACTCCTAAAGATTTGAGTAGGTGGATTGCTAACTTTCCGATTCTTTTAATAAACACATAATATTCATCACTTACATGCAGTTAATATCTTGTCGCCGTTCGTCCAGCCACTTGATAGTTCCCTGTGACCACCAGATACACAGTAATTGCTATAACGGATTCTTTTCTGAAGAACACTCCGCAGCGAGAATGACAATAATATTTCAAAAATCACATAACTCGTAGTTTACCTCTTACGTACAGTTAGACGGCTATTCGATGTTTTTTTCTCTCCCCCAGATATTCGCGTATTCTCGTTCATGGTTTTATGCAAAATAATAAATCTTTTTCTTCTCTGTACGAGAATGGTACAATAATAATAATAAAACATTAATGTTGAATCTGAGATAAGCCCTTGAGCACAAAAATTTAACGTTTAAACAAGGCTTTTGACCAGCTCTGCTAATATTAAGCTTTTTAAATGACAATTATCGACTTTAGAGTTGCTCACGATGCTTGAATACGCCGTCTTTAATAAGCTTGTGTTTTTACGTCTATGTTTTTTATGGATTCAGTTCAAAAGTTTGTTAAATAATAATCGTAATGCCAAAGTTTGACACCGATGCGGAAAAGCGTTATACACTTTACCGGGGATAAAATAATGGTACCAAGATAATTTAATAATTTAAACACAAGTCTTTATTATAATATAAAACTATTCTCATTGCAAAGGATTGTTTGATACGAACCACTATTTCTTGAATAGACCAAAGATAATATTCGCAATCCGCAAGCTAAAATCATTTTTAACAGTTTTTTGTTCCCAGAATTATTGAATGACCAGGTTTGAGATCGAAAAGAGAACAATCCAAGTCAAATGCTATTATGGAAACAGAGAAGCTTATTCCAATATGATGTCTATGTTAAAATGTAAAGTTTCAAGCTTTCTGCCACTTTGTGCGTTATGATAAACAAGTGGCATAATCTGTGAGACATGAGATTTCGTTTGTGTATATGGAAGGAGACGGATCCAAATAAAGCAAGAGGCCGTGGCGCACACCTGTGCCCTAATTCCGTGGCATAATATTATTCCAAAGAACTCCTAAATTGGCTAAACAAAGGGTATTCATGCATGAATCTTTGTCACACTCGCTCTACTCCTTTTAAAACAATAAAGACCATGTAATTTATACGACTATGTGTTTCCCCTTCAAGATGTGTGGGATGTCCATAAGTAGACTCCTCAAGCTTCTCAATACATTACAAAAATTAGCATATTCTAGACAAAAGTATCCCTTTATATTTAGTTCGAATTGTAAAGGTGGTAGCCAAAATATTTGATCGGGCCGTCATTGGTATAATCTTAATTTGTGTAATCCCAGTTAGCCAAAACTTTTTTCATTGTTTTTCCTTTTGCGTAATAGTTGCAGAACACTATTAATCTTAATATTAACTCAACCGAAAGGATTTCAAGCACATCAGAAAAACTGTAATATACATACCACATTCGATAGTGAATCGTAGATTCATCATGATAAAGCAGCTAATGATTTAATACCTAAATTTTCTATGCCATGTTATGTAAATACAGCTAATAGATTGGTTGAAATCTCCCGCTTGACGGAACGTTTATGTCCCACTGAGCTAGAATTACTGAAATGTATATACAATGGCAGATAAGGTAATAAACTTACAATATATTAAATACCTACGGTAATCTAATTTACGTATAAGTAATCTATGCAATATTATCTTGTCGTAGCAAGCAGTTCTTTGTTCAGAAGTTTTTGGACCTAATTCTCATATGTAAGTGCGTGAAGAACAAACGTTCCAATTCTTTTTTTATTTGCGGTCGATCCGCCTGAGATATGTTACACGTGCTTAATTGAATTTGATATGACGGAACTCGGGCCGGTATATTATTATTCTGCTTGTGGTTATGGAATATTGGCGGATACTGCGTATCGTGACCTAACCAATGACGAGCCAAGGGACGTACCCATAAATATAGTAAAGGTAACAGAATGTGATAAAATTTGACCGTTATGGGTACACAATAACCAACTGTCAGTTTCAAACATTAGCATTAATGTCCACAGTCATTATGTTGCACTGTTCCATTATTCCGTCATTCTAACCTGATGAAACGCCAATAATTTGTCTTGGCCGAGTCAGCAGAATTCGATGATATCGGGTACAATTGACCCATTAAAAAAAACAAATGTCCCGTAGCGTACATACCGTCGATCGTGCAGCACATGGGCCCCACTAATATATATATATGCACACACGCACTACATTATCTATCTCTCACTACACTCAGTCATCGTCTCATTCCATTTTACGTTGTTAAAGTGGAAACAACCAGTACTAACGTAGCAGATCATTCTATCACTGTCCTGGGGTGGGTGACGGCTACACACAATACCTTATAAAGTCTCCTATTCGATCGAAACCAAATAAAAAAACAAAAATAAGTAATGTCAGATACTCAACCAACGGCCAGTCAATCTAGTATAACTGAAGTACTGGAAGAGACGTCAGAGACGACAGTAGATATAACAACGCAGCAAGAAATTGGTAAGCACTAGTGTTAAATTTACAGGTATCCTTTGTATCCACAATTCTTATGTGTCGTTCTATGCATCTACAGGTGAGGATGATTATACACTAGATATTGGCGAGAAAGTGCTCGCCGCCGAAGAGTTGAACGCACTATTTGATGGCAGCAAACGGAGCTACCAATTCCGTGCTCTTGTGAGTATATTCATAACATCTCCAGCAAGAGAGAACGATATATTACATGCGGATCCGCTCGTATTTTGACATGGCTTACTGATCTCGTATTTCTATTCGTTCCTCGATTTAAAGGCACGCAAAACGGTATCATACCAAAAACGACAATGGTTCGTCAACATCTGTTGTATTATACTATGCCCAGTATTAATGGTCGCCATCGCTGGTATTATGGGAATTGTGATTACGAATTTGATAGCATCATCCACTACCGCTGAAGGTATGCAATATTAATCGCTTGTTTGCCGCAGTAGTAATACAAAGCTCGGGAATCGCGGAGTTTCCGTCAGCATATATTTTTCACGTTCCACAAATCATTGGAAACATGTGACCACTAATACTAATTCTTTTTGGGTGTTTATACAGAGTTCTTATGGTGCTCAAACACAAGCGCATTCGACGTGAACGGTGAACCGATCGACCCCAAGGGTGACCTTCCGTTGGTCCCTGCAGAGACATTACCCAATGTTCGCGCGGGTGTGAACCAAGTTGCCTTGACAAATTATTACCTCCCTCCTCCAAGTGACGATCCCTTCTCGGTGCCCGGCAGCCCTCAGCTATGTGTATACTGGTTCGAACGTGAATATCCATTCCAGGCCCCATATCAACCCGATCCAGCGGCAGCAAGCGAAAATCTGCGCAAAGCAAACACTTACTTACCCGACCCAGTTGGAGGATGGTTTAATCTGAGTCAATTAATGAAGCCATTTTACTTAGCAAAATATCAGACGTATCCACACCTGATAGTTGCTGACGTTGGAGACGTCAATTCGGGCACGAAAACAGCGCTACCTGACGTCGGCGATCCGTCCAAGTTTTATACGGATGATTATCTTAAAACACAAGGAACAGGACTATTAGGACAATTCGATACAAATTATTACGTTGACTTTTCTCGCCAAAATGAGCAATATTCGATTGCTGGATTCAAACCCGTTCCGTACATTGAAAAACTCAACAGCTCTGCCAACGACTTGGATGATCTCATGGCAGAGCGTATACAATCCGTCCTCGAGAAAGTATCAAAAACGGATAAATCGGCTGTAGAAGGATTCGACGCTCCCCCTATTGAACTGCTTAACTTTTATATAGATATTGCCGTTATATTACAAGAGTTACCATGGGGAAATATCTTATTCGAAAAATTAGACCCGATAATCAAACAATGGACATATACCTTGCAGATAGGCAACGATGCACGTATATCCGCTGCCGCATTATTCCCTCTACAAGGGCTGCGACGTACAGCTGTGCAAAGTCAACTGAGTAATGCATTTATCAAATCAGCAAATGGATCTGCGCCAACTACAACAATTACTCATGGTTACAGAGTTATGCCACAATTGTTCAACTCGCGATTTGAACTTCAAGCTGGAACGTTGATTGGTGGGATTCTATACCCGTTCGGAATATCATTCTTACTACCTATTTTCGTCATTACTCTTGTCAAGGAGAAAGAAGAAAGAATTCTAGTAATGATGAAGATGAACGGATTGAAGTCTTTCGTTTACTATTTGACCCACTATATTCACTTTTATATTTTACACATCATCACGTCGGCAGCGTTTATCGTCACTGGACTGCTGTTCCGTATGCAATTCTTCACTCTCACCAATCCAGGAGTATACATTATTTTATTCTTCTTGTGGGGACATGTTCAAATAGCGCTTGCATTCTTCTTTAGTGTATTCTTTAGCAAAAGTCGTACTGCTCTGGTGATTTCGTTTTTAATAGTATTATGTGGCGTCATCATTAGTATTGCCATCGATAGCATATTCAACCAAACCTCGGCTCCGACAGCGTACTACATTTGGCCACCGTTTGCATTTTATCGAGCGTTGACTCTAGTCAATCAAAGAAGTGTCAGTCACACCAAGCGAGCTTATAGGATAAAGGATCTCCGTGGAGGAGATGATGTACTTGGTTCTATTATTGCTATGATTGTAGAATATTTCTTCTTCATGGCATTATCCTTTTATCTGACCCAAGTGCTACCTAGTGAATTCGGAGTACCAAAACCGTGGCATTATATCTTCACCGAACCTTACAAAAAATGGCGCGACCGAAAGAAGAAAAACGCTAAATCAGAAAAGACAATAGCACGTCTAGAGGAAGAAGCAATACCAGATCTCGATTCTGAAGAAGTCAAATACGAAGACGAAGACGTGAAAGCGGAACGAGCTCGTGTGCTAGAGAACAAATACCCACCTAACTCGCCGTTGGTAATGAAACGTATGCGCAAAGTTTACGGTAATGGCAAACTTGCAGTAAAGGACATAACATTCGCCGTGGAGAAGGATCTCATATTTGGTCTACTTGGTCCAAATGGAGCCGGAAAGACCACTCTTATTAGTATTCTGACTGGACTATATGCGCCAACATCTGGTCATGCAACATTGAACGGATTTGATACGTCTACCAACATGAATGATGTGTATCGTAGTATTGGTGTATGCCCACAGCATGACATTCTCTGGGACGATTTAACTGTCGGGGAGCACTTGCTATTCTATGCGAGATTAAAGGGTGTTCATGCGAGTAAGGAGAAACAAGCGATCAAATACGCATTACAACAAGTCCGATTAGAACCATTCGAAAACCGACTATCCAAAGGATTAAGTGGTGGCGAGAAACGTCGTCTGTCCATTGCCATATCGCTTATAGGTAATCCAGCTGTTGTGTTTCTCGATGAGCCGACAACAGGACTCGACCCTGAAGTGCGTCGATTGATCTGGAATATCGTCCAGGAAGCTAAACGTGGAAGGACTATTATATTGACTACACATTCTATGGAAGAGGCTGAAGTATTGTGTCAGAGGATCGGTATTATGGCTAAAGGCACGTTGAGATGTATTGGACCGCAGTTGAGATTGAAAGAAGTATATGGACGTGGGTTTAAATTAAGTTTCTCATGTCGGCCGAAGAATGTAGAGAGAGCTACTGCGTAAGTACTGTGCGAAACGAGATTGCCGGTTGAATAGTAATTGAGTAATAAGAAGTGTTGGAGTTACAGATATATCGCCTTTTTATCGAAAATGTTCTGATCATGCTTTTTGATATAATCATTTAATAGATACATTGAATCTCTTCTTCCGCCTTCGGCAAAGAAACTCGATGCATTTGTGACGAATGTGTCATATGAATTCGAGCCTGAACCTGGTCTGATTTCTAAACTGTTTTCCAATATCGAGAAGAATAAGAAATCAAACGGTATTGACGATTGGGGATTAAGTCAGACGACGTAAGTTTGTGATGTTTACTTGAGATTCTTGACAGTCGCTTGGCACACGTTTTAACAATTGTCCCATCTTCCATATACAGGTTAGAAGAAGTCTTCTTGCGTATTATATCCGACTCTGAGGCCGAGGCCGATTAATACAATGAAAAAAATCCATAATAATCCAAAATTGTTTAAATAGAATTGTATAATTTAGAGCAATCATTTTGATATATATTGATGTCTTGGATTGTATTGGTGAACACTTGCTAATACTAAGGAGAAATAAGATTAAACTCAATTAACGTTCAAATCCGAAAAATTGTTTCTGCTACTCATACTATCCTACAATGTGATAAAACCTGTTTCCTGTATACAATCTAAATGTCTTTAAAAATTCAGACACGTAGTTCTGTAGGCTGCAACAAAACCGGTCAAAGGGAACGCTGCCAGAGAAAGATTCTCACATATGATCAATGCGTAGCTTCTCTGGTCTGTTTCCGTAATGCTGATATTTATTTATCATTTGTTAAATTGATCGTTAGAAATCGTTATTCTCAAATCAAAAAACTATTTTGTATTTTTTACCTTGATGATCAATTCTTTGTTCTGTGATTAACTTAGTATTCCTATCAAGCGTTAATTTTCTTATTAGGACCCCAACCGATAGATTTACCGACGTAATCTACCGGTATAGAATTAAATATAGGAAAAATGTCTCCTCATTTCAATTCAACTAGCTTCCGACAATCTCAATCTCTTTTGCTCACATGACCAAATCAAACGTTCATGTGTCTGAAATAGTTATATTGTTGTTTATATGAGCCAATTTACCATTCTCTCCACAAAATAAAAATGGTACACATTTGCCAACAGATCTACAGTGAACTCTCTCTAATGTAACCTCTCTAAACGCAACTTCTCTCTAAATACATGGGAAGTGTTCAGTCCCATGTTGGGACTTAAGAGACACGAGCACGTTCTATATTCAAGCTTACTCAGTCCCATCACTATACGATGCAATATCATGTGATCATCGACACACAAAAAATATCCGGAATAACGCTTACAGATCAGGAGATCGTAGACTTGGTCACGCATGAAGTTGAAAACGTGCACCGTCGATGGGGCTCTCGCCCTGCAAATGTCGATGAATAAACTAAGATGTAACAGAAGACGTATATGTGGAAATGTAGAAGAGTATGACAATGTAGAAAGGCGAAGGTTATCCATAAGGAGGCGAAACGCGTACAATTAAGTAAGGTTGTATAATGAGTATTTTTTTATTGATGGCGGCATAATAAATAATAAGCGGTCACGTGAAATAAAGTTCTCTATATGCCGCTGTCTATAAGTGCAAGCGCGCATCGTCGGTCCCGATGAAGTGCACTTAGAGGGAGTTTACTGTATGTGCTTCTTACTTACGACTTAAAAGTACTGCTAATCAGACCATATTCCAGCTTCGTTTATCTCACGAACAACGAAGATGATAATGACGAAATTGAAAAACGCCTTAGTATTAGAGATAGATGCATTGCCATCCATCCCGATTATGGTGTGTCATTATGTTCTCAACTTTCAAGATTTCTAACAGTATATCTTTGCTCAATTTTTACGAACAACTCGTTGGTCCTTGTGGGTCACTAAAAGTGCATTACTTTCTAACGCCCCGAAGCCGTTCTCGTTCTCCAACATGCTTGCGAATATCGTGCGACATAAAATTTCGTAACACATGATACGGACATAGTTGATAATCAGTATGAGATCATATTGATATAAATGATCGATTCAAACTCCTTCTCTAAGTGTTTTTGTTGAACCCTTGTGAAGGTCTTCATACGTCTGCAAAGATTCTCTCTTGGCGGAAACGTTGAGTATGGCCGAGTCTAATCTGATAGACTGAATTCTTTTTTGCGGATTGTCGATTATATGAGAGATAATCTCTTCGCAATGGGGGTTTCTTTCGCCCATTGTCATACATAGCACCAAGTTAACCATAGATTATCTATTAACTTATTATGGTATTATCGCCGTGATGATGAATTGATACAAGATATGACGAAAACGTATCGAGCTATCGACTGCAATCCTTTCAGGTTAGTTATTTTCTCAGAGAACATAATCTTCTTTTTAATGCCACAATTCGATATTATAGTAATAGAACAGTATACTGTACATCTGTCAATCCATCCACAGATTTCTCTGTCAGCATATGGTTATCGATAGGCTGACCGGTAAAGGCGTAACCTGACCAATGCGGATCGTACTGCCGCTTGAAAGCCCTTGTTTCTCTTCTCAATCATTGTCATACCACATATATAGAAACAATATCTCCTATTATGTGCTTAGAGGAAGAGCCATCATGTACGCCGACAGATCGCCATCTATCTTTTTAAACTTTACTTATCACTATTACTATTGGAAAACAACTTTCAATAGGATGCCCCAAAGAAGGCAGGAGATTGGTTAGGATGATGTACAATGTAGTAGATGGAAAAAACCGTGAGCGATTGTGAAAGTATTTAAGGAAGGTGTTATCAATTAAGGTTGTTTAGGTAAAGGTCCATTATACGAAGAAGCATTACTGTAAGTACAGTACAAATGATAATGTCATTTTAAATAAATGCTAATACGTGACAATCCATATAATACATTCATCTTACTACTTTCAATTCCCTACTTTCGACTTTTTGAAAATACGATAGTATGGCTGACGAACGTGGCTCGCTGAAAACAACCGGCCCACAAGGCTATGGTGCCATTAGCGGAAGCAGTAGCCTATCAACGGCTCCACCGGATGATTTATACGAGTCTGAAAATGTGCAGGGATGGAGGGGTATTAAATATAGACTTCGCGAACTGTTTGCCGAAACATTGGGAACGTTCGTCTTGGTTGCATTTGGTCTTGGAGGTGTGGCGCAGACTGTGCTGAGCAAAGGAGGGAATGGGAATTGGTTTACTCTTGCGCTGTCGTTCGGATTAGGCTTGACCTTTGCGATCGTCGTTGCTGGCAGGATTTCGGTACGAATTTTTGTAGTTTGGGATTGTATCATTGTTTCCCTTTTTCTTTTTCGTACTTACTAACAACTATGTAATTATTTTATGATTTTATCAGGGTGGTCACTTTAACCCAGCGGTAACCATTACGTTGGCCGTATATCGTCAATTTCCCTGGATCAAAGTTCCACTCTATACAATCGCTCAAACAACCGGTGCGTTTATCGCCGCGTTCGTAATCTTTACAAATTATTACCCAGCGATAAATGCATTCGATGGTGGACACCGCGCCGTCACGGGAGTTAATGCCACTGCTGGCATCTTTGCGACATACCCACAACAGTTTGTTGGAACGACGGCAGCATTCATTTCCGAGGCACTTGGTACGTTCTTCTTGCTCCTTGTCATTTTAGCAGTAACGGATGAGAAGAATGAGGCAGTAAAACCGGCAGCACCATTCCTTATTGGATTGTCGCTTACGACCATTGGTATTGCATTGGGTTATGAGACTGGCTTCAGTTTGAATGGTGCAAGAGATTTTGGTCCGAGGTTGTTTACGGCAATCGCCGGGTATGGACTCGATGTATTTACAGTTGACCATTGGTATTTCTGGGTGCCCCTTGTTGCACCTGTCTTTGGTGGATTGGTTGCCGGATTCGTATATGATTCCTTTATTTATACTGGAAAGTCGCCCTTAAACAGGGCTTAAATGAAATGTAAATATTGATGCTGGTTATGGAAGGAAAAGTTTGTTATTTGATCAATTGAGCAAGTAGTTTAGCAAACTTTCTGTGACATAGCAATGTTTTTGTAATAAAAATCCATCTTTATTACACTTGTCTGAAATTCAACAAATATGTATACAAAAAAAAGATGTGTTATGTACGATTGTGTTATATAAATATGAAAGTGAATTTTTTGATAATAGAAAGCTAATTATGTTTTGCTAGATATGTTGAAATTACTCGATACAAACGAGTCAAACGAACAAATATTAATTGCAATATAAACAAAGGATTGATTATGAGAGAACCAAGGAACTTGACGCAATAAGTTATGGGCCTCAGGTTATGATTTTGAAAGAGGCAGAGACATTCCTCCCTCCCCGAACCGTGTATATACCGTCGAAACAGTGACAAGTTAAACAGTGGTGTCTAAATATTACATTTAGCGTTATTCATACTGTGTACTGAATAGAAATCATTACTCAAGTCATTTTCCATCTAGAATCATGGATGAAACTGATGTCGTTTCACCGTGCCCTTCTCCTTTTTATGACCCAAACGTCCACTCCTACTGTTGTTTCCCATGTCACCATCGCAACACTTTTTTCGTCCATTGTCCTCCCCACCTTGCTCCATTCGTCCGAACGCAAATCCTCGACTTCAAATGACATACAAGTTAAGGAAACTTCGATCCTCAAAAGCCATGCGCACGTCTTCATCCGAAGACATTGTGATATGATCGCCTTCATCATCGGGATATTTAATTTTCAACGGATGAGCAGCCCTGGAGCTCAACCCGATTTTCTTTTCTACTCTTTCGCATAAATCACGATATTTAATGTCCGATGGAACGACAATAACGAAAATATCGTCCGCGAAATTGACTTTAATCTTCATCGTCGATGAGACTAGAGATATATTCGATGATGAGGGAGTGGTCATTGCACTGGGTACGTTATAAGAACTGCCGTTGGAAGATGATACTGTTGACTGTAATGACGCATGATAACCATTGCCCGTTCTTGAATATTGGGAATGTGGTGCAAATGGCATGTCTGATGCTGTCTCCTGACTTGACTCTTGAATTGTGTGAATGTTTGGATTACTCTGCGACCTCATTTTCATGGAGGACTGTAGTATGTGAGGTACCGGGTTACTAACTTGTTGATATACTGGTGCATTATGCGAATGAGTTCTTTGCATCGGTGCAGTGCCCGCATACGCATCATCAGGTTCTGCCATGAATCTAGCAATAGTATCTGTGAAGGAGCTTTGAGGATGATCCGAGCTTCTTCGTGACCAGACGTTTAAGGATTGAGAACTGGCACTTCCACTACTCCGGACTGACTGAGCCGGTGAATTGGGATGGGACGGAGGAGGAGACAGTGGGAGGTAGTTTGGACCATTGTATTCTTTAGCCGAGGCATTGGGTAGCATCGTGGTGATTGACCCGGGCATTGCTGGAGGTCCAGCGCGGGCGGGAGGTGGCATTGACATATTTCCATGATGCGGCCTATATTGCGAATAATATTGGGATTGTGCCTGTTGCATTTGTGATGATACCGATTGCCAATTGTTCTGTGCATATTGATCATCTCGTGCGCGATTCCGTGGCATCTGCCCGTATGGTAAGCTTTGGCTCCTGGCTTTATTCGATGACCAGGGTTCAGGTCCATCTTCTCCCTCTAACTCTCCCTTGTCTGCCTCCTCTTCTTCATTATCCCTCCTTTCTTCTTCTTCTTCTTCCTCCTCTTCTTCTTCATCCTCATCTGGATCAATGTATGACGCTGCATCATCATCACGGTAATATGAATTGGGTGTGAGATTCTGTAATGAAACAAGTTGAGTATTTGATACCGGGGTGCGTTTTTCTTTCTCTATATATACGTCGATTGGCTTCGACATTTGAGCCGGGAGAGTATGGCGATTGCTGCTATTTTGATCGGTGACCAATTTCTCCAAAGTCGACTGCCATTGCTTTAGCTGTTCTTCGTTACGGCATTTAAGAGAAAAAGATTCCATTTCTGTATCACCGCGCCAAAACACTTTGAGAGACCAGACTGAAAGCGACAATGAAATATGAAAGCAGTCAGTCATATAATTGATACTAATACAAAAACGAGTTTAAACAATCAAATAGATTCCGCAACTGGGACACCATTATGTACGAGCTGTGTCAATCGCTTCCCGCTATCATTAAGAACAACTCGCCCATGTAGAACCCACCCAATATCGAACTCTAGCAACCGACTCTCCTATTCCCGTAATAAAAAAAAGCTCAATTCTACACTTCAACTTACGTCCACTCCGACTATTGTTAACAACAGCTGAAATATTGTGTATAAAAATCCTTCCTTTCAACTGTAAACTCGCACGCTTAGGCCTCCTCTGGGTTAACAAACTCCTTCCTGGCGTCTGAGGTCTCCTTTGAGCCATCTCTTTACAACATAATAGAATCTTCTCGAATAGGTATACGTGATATTCACGTTCGGAATCATCTTTCGACATGATGAAAACGTCCTCGAGTAAGAGGACGCCGAATGAGGATACGCTATGACCTTTCCAGTCTTCAACACGGCGTTCGAGCTCTTTGACCACGGCCTCATTCTCTTGCTTGCGACGGGTTTCATTAACACGGTCAGCCACACGTTTTATGGCCTTAAGCCCTCGTTCTATTTCATTGTAATATGGTGTTTCATTTTGGTCCGAATATTTAAGAAGTTCCTGGAGATTGAATGGTGCAGAAATTAGTTACCAAATTGCACGCAGTTAATGCTGTCCTATCAGTGTTAAAGTATAATACTTACTTGCAGCAACAGAGGGTATTTACAAATACGTTGTATAGGTTTAATTAATAGAGAAGGCAACTCGTATGTCGGTTCGACAACATGTTTCAATTTCTGCATAAAAATTTAGATTAGTACGTAATTCCAAAGGCAGCCATGCTATCTCTAACTAATTTAGGTATCCGCAGTATCCATATTCACCTGCAACTTGTCAGTCTCCTGAATTGCTAATTCTGATGCATACTGATAATTCGCACAGAATGGCTCATATACTTCAAACGAGTCTTCCTACAAATTTGCAACACCAATATGTGAACAAGACTGCTACATCATCTACTTGATTCGTTTCAATCTTCACTTTTCTATCTTCTTTGAACAGCAAAGTACCTCGTATCAAGACCATCATTCACCCAAAAATCTTCTCACCTTTTCTATGAACAATAATCCAAACCGCTGATCAGCTGGTGGCTTGGCAGCATTGTCCTCAACACCTATCAAAAATCTCCTTTGAAAGTCTACGAGATGGTTCAAATTCGCGAATAGTTTGTGATTCGTATCAGCACTTATAATTTCTTGTTTAATTAATTCGTTTGAGTAGGTTTGGAGTGCCTCAAGATCTTGTACATATTTGCGTTCAGTTTCGAGTATCTCGTTTACTACTCGTGCTCTGCTATCAGTTGGTTGTATTGGTTCAGAGGTGCGTACTTGTCGACGGGAAGGAATGAGAAGATTTTTAGCTTCCATGCGATCGAGAATGCGTTTTACTGCGTTGATGACCTGAATATTTAAAAGCGATAATAAATAAGTATGACGGAAGTGGGGAATCATTTGATAAATGAGCAACGATAATGAACTGGTATAATAACGTCAATGATAACTACATGATATAGCGTTATTTATCTATTAATATCACCACGTATAAATCAGGAATTATGGATTCTCTTTCTCCATGTAATAATAAACTTTAATTAATGTACATGTATTTACTATTAAAAGATAGTCTGCCGCTTATTGACGAGTTAGTTACAGTTCTTGCTTTAAATTGCAAATGCTATTGCTCATTTCCAAATCTCATTCTCCCAGTCACATTCAATATGTCTATTAGGTTCTTTTCTTCTATTATAACTAGCTCATTAGACAATGACATTCGTTATGCTCGTTTCTCTCATTATTTCATTATATTATAAACACGTACCTTTACTAGTCCGTCTGTGTCGTCTTTTGTAAATGCCGATACAGTAAAGGTTTCGTCATGATTTAGATCCAATTCGTTCTTACAGCCAACGCTAAATTGATACAACATCTTCTTTGTAGCAGTCTCCTTATTGTCGCCCGTATTCGGTTTACAGAACTCTTCTGCTATCGGTTTTCCAGGCTTCATAGCATTGAATAGCATGCATAATGGATATCCTAATCTAAAAGTCTGCCATAATAATCCGACTGGAGTGTCATTCTGTGTATCTTGGTCTAAATATTGTTCAAAGCCTTCGACACAGTATAAACGGTTGATGAGATCTAGACAGAGTTGGTAGAGAGATTGTGAGGCTTGAGCTGGACGGTTGAGTGTGTTTGCGCCAGTGGGAGAGGGAGTCTCTATGGGAGATATTTGAAGGACATTCGTGGCTGACATTTGGGATAAACTCGGACTGCGTTTTACCGCTCCTCTGTTCATTGTCTTGTGGTATGTGAAAGGTGCAAAGCGTGGGCGGAGGGGTATGGTCGATGTTTCTGTATATGACAGAAAGTTTGTTGACGCCAATCTTACTTTTGTACCCTTCTAGGCAGAGAGTGTCAATAAGAGTACCATGTCGATGTTTGGGATTTGGGTTTGAGCATGTATAAATCTTTGCCAGCCAATCAACGGTTGGATTATTTTATTTCTTATTCTAAAATACATAAATGATTTGGGAATTATTAAAGAAAATACGTTTTGAATAATTGATAGAATGAACGTATTGTTATTAATATTTAATAAATCACCTTACGGTTGTTTGTTACCGAATTGCAATCTAACTCGTCCATTAAAATGGATTGTCAATTGCATTATGTTGTATGTGTGTAAACTTGACAGTCTTTACAAGGAGCCATAGTGCGAGTCCTTTGTATCGATTTAGTTTCGTATTAGTACTCTTCCTATACTTTGTTAGCTCCCCTTTGTGTCTGCGGATCTTGCCAATATCATACAGTCCGAATGGAATGGACACTGGTAAATGCGGAGAATAAAAAAACGAACAGACATTATTGGAGAGATCATGCTGTATGCATAACAACGATGCATAAATTAGTATAAAATATCCACTGTATAATATGTTTCAGGCTTTTTACCCGCCTCATTACCTATACAGTCGATTCGAGGGCTTTTGCCATCCAAATTAGACACCTATCCGATTCAGCATCTGAAATTGGTTGGTCCGTTCCCGAAACAGGTTCGAATATTAACGTTAATGTTAAACATTAAATTGTCAACTTTGGGGGATGGAGGGTTGAGGGGGTGGGTCGACTTATGCCGAGATTTTGGGTCATCCATGTGGGTGATCGGAGAGAGGATGGTAGATAATGATACTCACCAAGTCGAAGTGAGAGTGTTTGTGTCTGTTGTACTATTTATTGTGTGATAACCCACCGATATGATATCATATGAAAAAATCTTATCTTGTTGGCGCTAGGTAATAAGACACAGCCATCGTTTTGTTTATTATTTATTCATGACCAACCAATAACAAAGTTTTGACAGTTTATCCGAGATGATGTTAAGTTACTATGAAAGTTTATCTATCCCCCGTTAGACATGTATCAATATAAATAATATTGTTCCGAATTGACAACCAAAGTTGCTGATAAATATCCCAATAAAGTAAAGAGTTTATTCCAGTCATTCACAGATATGCTCGATAAAGTGATGCTCTTATTAAAATGTAAATGAAGGGATTATTATGGCGATTTTGATATTATTATATAACATTAATAATAATTATGTGGGTCGAACACCCATTGATGTCCTATTACTAATATGGGACATGCTTACAAACAAAGCCAGAGACGAGAATGAATATCAAATGATTATTACCTTTGTTGCTATTGCAAAGGTAACCATCCATCCCTTCTTGTCTTTTCCTCATTGAGATCCAACATTCCCTCCATTACTGTTTCCCTGAAATGCTGTTAACCCTTGCTGCAAGTAGCATCAATACGAGAGCATGCAAATGGCGCAGTGGTAGTGTAACACAAAATGTGACAATTCACCTAAAAGTAAACCAAAAACGTTATGTTGACCAACAGTTAGAACAATCATCACAAACAAACATGATCTTTCAGAGTCTAGGCCACGAACAAAAAAAGGAGAGAGAGAGAGAGAGAGAGTCTGTCAGCAAATCTATGACCAATCAACATTGTCGAGGTTAAATAGTTTAAGATTCTACGAACACTCGCTAATATGCAACGTCTAGTATTCTCAACCACGTTCAACTTCAATCGCCAACTTGTGTTAGTCATGCCTCACTCTTTTGCATAGTCTCCGATTACATGTGCCTATTGTATATTAATATCCACCTATAAAATACGGTAGCCACTAATATAAAAAATGTATCTTCTTTCTTTTTTCTGTCAATTTTGACATTCGAAGTTAGAGCAAATCCCTATTTATTTCAGCATTCGACACGGTTGATCTTTGATTGAGACACAATGAGATTATACATGCGGTGTTTCTTATGCGGACGTGCCAATGATACGTTTTTAGTAAGTGTCAATTTGCTTAGGGTTGAAGAAGTTTGTTTTGTAGAATGTTAGTTCATCACTAAAATAAATCGGTACGACACTCACATGTAAAAATGGAGAAGATGATTGTATGCAGACAATTCTCCGATACGAATTTTGGTTCTAAGACTACCATGTGAGTTTCGTTAGCTCAAAATAAAAAAAAATCAAGTCCGGATATAAAATTTTTGGTAGAGTTTTGTAGGAAAAACGAGTCATTCACAAGTTATACGCTCTTTGTGTTTCTTCCGTCATTATTGTATATTTTAATAGTTAACATTTACGTGACAGAATCTTCATTTTATTCAATTGCATACTGATAGTGTGCTGGCTTAGAAAAAGATAATATTGTAAATTAATTTGAATAACGTACTCTTGCCACTTTACAGTTCAAAGAATGAAAACTGTACTATAATTACTGTAATTTTGTTGTTTATTTTTAATATTTAAAATTTCTGGAAAAACAATCTAAATGTTGACATTTTGTAAACACTCAGTTTTTTGTTTAAATAACTACCAGATTGCTTAAAAGACAGTACATAAACGATTTCTGTAAATAGACGCTGGCTTTGTTAATAAACAGTTTACCAACATTGAACTTGTCTATTGCTCGACTATGTAATTGAGACAAACCATTACGGTTCTATTGTACTTGTATCTCAGTTGGAGACTTGTCACTGAGTGACTGAGGTTCTGGATTGAGACAGGTTATAAACTCAGACACAACAGTTCTAAAATTTTACAGTCAAACACAATATGTAGAACAACTGTATATTACTATAGATACATTATCGACATCTAGAAAAAGTCAGAGATGCTTTAAATAACTTGAAAGCAAAATGAACTCTTACTGAACAGCAGACCTGAATGTTTAAAAGTAGAAGTAAATAAAGTAAATGTCCTAAAAGTTAAAGAAATGACAAAAAGATTACTCAAAGGAATTATCCAAATAAAAGAAATAGAATTTAAAAAAGGAAGAGGCTTTAATGGTTCTCTTTTCAATCCCAATTCTTTTAGTTAAAGTTAAAGTCAGTTTCCTAGTCTATTTTTCCAGTATCATTTAGACAAGTTTTCCAGTTCCTTTTCGAAATGTTGGACTAAAAATCAACAAGAATAAAAACCATCATTGGGATTTCCTGTGAAGACTTTTTTCGGTCTTGTTCCACGACCAACGTGTATATTATAATAATAGAATAATACATTATATTGTTTACACTTTAACAATCTGCAACTATACGATTATGACATCGCGCCGTTCAAAATAATTGACGTAAAATTCGGCACGGAAACAACGTATCTTATTCTCAGTAAAAAATATACATACTTTTAATACGAATATGGGCTTAATATGATCCGTAAAATATGAGCAAATATGTTCGACAATTGTTACTCAAATGTTTTATAAACATAATTCATAAAATTATTGACTAAAAACTTCCCGCGGGAAGATTGCGTAACAATTTTTTGATTATTAGTTTACAAATTACATACGGAAAGTTACGGAAATAATTCTTGTCATGAGTTATTTGCTCATGGCTCACATAATTACTCGTCAACGAAAATTCTTCTTACATTCGCAAGTCGCAGCGCTTAACACCTTACATTCAAACCATGAAGCCAAGAACAGATTTACATGATGCGTAAGAAAGAGGAAATAAACAGCGTCTGGTTAGGGCCAAGATTAGAGATGGAAAAAGTTATTACACAAGAATACGAAACTAACAGAAGAACAAGGAAAATATATTATTTTGTAATTGGGAGTTAAGTAAGATTTATTATTTAATCCTCGTAAAATACGTTTATTAATATTCAAGATAAGTAGTACGCGAACGAGTTACTTGTGTTCTCGGTGAGGACGAAATGATAGGAAAATGTCTTAACATCGAGCTTTTTTTCGCCCGATAAAATTAAGAGATCAAATAAAATGAAAACAGTTAATGACTATTTGTGATAACGCGATTGTCAGTATAAGATAATATTACTGACTGATTCTACTCATATTTAGGGATTTGTGGTTGTTATTAAGTATTAGATTAAATTTTATGGGTACCTGTGCATGCTAAATTCAATTATAACAGTACTTTTGGATTGATCCAAAGCCCCATAGAAAAACGACCGCATAAATTATAGATTAAAGTCGTAACAAGATTTAGTATGGTTGAATAATTCGTATCTTTATTTTTAAACATATAACATGTTATTTAAATCTTTTTAATTGTACTGTAATTTCTGGGTTTTTAGTCCCATTTTAATGCCATAGGTCACGCAATGGATTCCTTTGAATTTCAATTCATGGTTGACATTTGAAGCAAAAACTTCACAGGGATGCTTGTAAAACGTGAACAGATTTTTTATTTCTTCACTGGGTAAATCAGTGTTATCTTTTGGAGCCGTTCTTTTTTTTTTCTGGTGAGGTAATGGCGGGAAAAGCTGGGGTCATTATGCCAGATTCACTTTGTGGAAATTTGTCCTTTTTCTCATATGTGGATGAAAGAGTTTCGCGAGTTTCGCATAAAAAAACACAAAAGGCATTTATTTAGAATCATAGATACCGTCTTCAGGGCAAATAACTTCTATTGACTTGTAAGATAGCCGCACTCCGGTTAATAATGCAAGACAATTACCGACAATGTTCTCATGCCCTGATACATTTTTAAATATTCGCATATGTGAATTTGTCCGTTAAGATTCTGACCTCCAATAAAATTTTTAACTTGTCCCTAAGCGGGCTTTCCTTTCGACGCTAACGCTCGTTTTAAATATTAACATGTCATTTACATTATAATTAATATCATATTAATGTTCTGACTCAAATCCAATCTCGAAATAAGTTCATTTTATTCAATCACATAAACTTGTTGATTAGACGTCGCTCATTGGTGTGATATTTAGGTGCTTATTCAGAACATGACGTCATAAATTCGTCATACTAAAATAATTGATGTAAAGCAGGATTTTTGGTCGCACTAATACTAACGGGATTCTTTTTTCCGAATTCACTGTCGCTTGGATAGTTGTTCAGAGGATATCAAGCGATATTAAAAATTGTCTTGACCAATAAAATCTGATGTCTCAATTGTGCGATTATGTAATACTATTAAACATAAAGGATACTTTACAAAGTTTAATTAAACATAGAATCTTAATTAAACATTAGCATATTCGTTTTTTACAGTACATTATATTATCTACCATATATCTTTAATGTTCAGCAAGTTGTCTGTTGATTGTCCAATTGTAGTCACATGTCGCTTTCTTTCTTTTACTACTTGGGCAGTGTACGAACTCTGTACTCTTGCACACCCACCTGGGCCACTAACAAACCAATCAGCGTACACTAACATCAACTTATCGAGTGTTCCTAATATTCCAGAGTCTTCATGATCCCATCTCTTAGAAGAGCCGGCAAAAGCTGATGGAGAAGAATCGAGGCGCATCCATGTATAGAAGTCGAGACTGTTATTCAATATATTTGCTGCTTTGTGATGATTCTCTGTAAGTGTTGCGAATGTGTCTGAATGAGAGTTATCACCACCATCAAGAGGATAATCCGTAGCGATATACACGTTCTTTATTTTATGCTCTTGTTTAACTCGTTTTATATATTCCACAAGACTGACGGAGCAATTGACTAGATTTTTCGCCTTTGCCGACTCCATCCGCCAATGAATGCCGACGTATGGGCGTATTGACGATGCAGCATTCTTTGCCTGCTCAATAAGATAGTTTGCATAGTTGAGTGGAGGCATCTCTCGTTGAAGATTTGGGTAATTAAATCTGGGGAAACTGTAATTCATTAGCAAGACATCTGACTGAACCGATCGAAGACCATCGATAACAAACCGCGCGATCGCATCTCGGTCATTGAACGTTTTTCTTATCAGTATGGTGCGAGCTTTGTCTTCGTAATCCAAATAGAACGGTTGCATGCAGTTGTCGATTTTGTACTTTTCGAGATTCAATTTCTCAGACTTGATCTGCTCTTTTTTGATCTTGTAACTACTGTCTAAGTAGACAGCCTTTGCGGTAGGCATTTTCGCATTTATTTCTCTCATTTCCTGGTTCCACGACAAAAATTGACTTTGGGTAATAAACTTAAAGTCCGGAAACTTTTTAGTGTCGATAGAGTAATAATAATCGAATGAAAAAAGTTTGCATGCGCCTAATCTTGACCCCCCGACATTAGGCAAGACTAATACTCGATTGGTTTTTCGCGCCATCAACATTATGCGTATCATGTGTATTCGCGCCCTGGATTCTTGCTCCCTCAGTAAAACCGGGAATAAAAACCGACATTTAGAAGAGCCGCAATACTTTAGATTTATCAGCTCTTCTGTATCGGTTATTTCTTCATCAATAAACATTTCCTGAACGGGCTCGTCAAAGTAATAGTAGTTTGGCGGCTGCAATTAAAAAGAGAAAATAAATATATCTGACCTATTGTGAAGAGGTTCTGTCCAACTATACTAATTCTAAATTAGTCTTGCAAGTTACACAACACACGGCTATGATCGTTTATGATATCACTATGAATGCGACTAAATCGGGACTTAACTATCAATTTACTAAATACGTCATTATTCTATATGTATTACTCGGAATGTTTGTTCTACACATGGTGTATTGGAACATTACTTCTTCAAAACGAAGGACACTTACATCTTCCTCATAGATCCTTTGTAGCGATGCCTCTTCAAGCGCATGTATATTATAATCGACTATATTCCAGAAGGCGAGGCACACAATGATCGCGATAGCTCGTATCACCAGTTTGTAACGAATTGCTCTTTCCGGAGGATTCAGAACCAAGCTTTTCATAATGTGTCGTTAAAAAAGGGCGTAGTATTGGTAAGTATAAAACTAAGGATGAGGATTGTCAGTAGGGATCGGATATATTTATAGTAGAGGGGGATTTATTATATAACATTTGGCTGAGGTTGTATTACAACCATTAGAAAAGGTTAATGCATAGGGATGACTGGATCCTTATCAAGCTGTTGTCATGATAAGGTGCAGAGTATTGTTGTTACATTTTCGTGCTCACTTGTCTTCTGAAAACGGACCTAAATTAAACTGATTTTTGACGGTCCGCCTTTATTTTAGCGTATTTTTTTAACTGATGTTGATCAAGTCTGAAACAATTATTGATTGTCGATAATGCCCACGTTAAGCGAATTTTTCTTGGCGCATCGGTGATCTCATTTCTTGGCGAGAAATCAGTTACTCAAAGTTATAAAACTTGAAATTTATAACCAGAGCAAAACTCACTTTTGAGGATAAGAATGCTTCTTAACTACCAGTATTAGGTAATGACTTCTTCCGAAGAATATCTAATATTTTGCTTCCATACGATTACTTTGTGCTTTTTGTTGGCTTCCTGCTATCAAGTATTTCTAAGATAACGATTTTACGCTTACGGATCTCAGTTTAACATGAGATGATCCAAACGTTAGAATGTACAGTAACTACAGTACTTGTCACGCTGCTGGCGTGTTCTCTCAAATGAGACGTCGGATAATCGACAAATCTTTCCGTTGTTATGGCTTATTCAAATTACCATTTGAGGTTCTCTTTGATATTGACGGAAAGTGTACCACAAGGCTTAAAGGCTTTGCAGTAGGTTGAGTCTCACTTGTCACACAAAAGAGCCAAGAGTTGGTTGAACCATGGTACCCAATCAATTGTTTTTTCATTTTCAATTGGCTTGTCCGTTTTGATTGCATTACAGTGAACTCCATCTAAATGCAACCTCTCTAAATGCAACTTCTCTCTAAACGCACATGAAGTGTTCGGTTCCATGATGGGACTTACGAAATAAGTGCACGTTCTATGTTCTGCCATTACAATCTTTCATCTCTATACGAGTGTTTTTCTAAATGCGTAGTATGATCTGCATACAAGCCCGCGATATCTTCACTGTTACAAATTGCCTATTACTATATTCGGATCATACATATTTCTGCTGGGGGAAGTGTTTCATTATAAGACGATGAACCCTTACTTATGATGTTAGACTTTCAATGATAAAGCCTTTCCACATTCTCACGTACCTAATAAAAAAGGAAAGACTCTTCCGTATTAATACGTAGGCACTTAATTTGTCTAGAAACGTTCATTATATCTTGTACAGCAAGATATTGACGACGTTATCAGGTTCGTAATTAATACAATTAAGTAAGGCTGTAAAATGACTTGAACGAATTTTCACAATAATAATATATATGATAATCTCCAATAAACTTTCTTTTATGAATAATTTGAATAAACATCTTTTCATTTAGCTTGGATTTCGTTTCGACAACGCTTACTTCAATTTGTTAATGGCGATGGCAGCATAGTAAACAGCAAAGAGGTCACGTAAAACAAAATGATTGGTGTTCTCTAAATGCACGTCTCTACATAAATGCAAGCGCCCCAACGACGTGCACTTAGATGTATCGGTATTACGCTTGCATATGGTTTGTCTCAAGTGTTATTTCTAAAAATTCGTTTCTTCGCTGTCAGATAAAGCACTGCTTACGTGGGGGCAAATCATGTATCCTTTCAGTTAAGTCTTTAATTTTCAGCTCTTTCTTGTTGTTTCATTTGCACGCATTCTATAAAATATTCCCGACTTTCGTATACCTCACACCCACTATTTTGCCATACATACGTTCATGAAATGTGCTGCATGGTAGTAAATCTCGATAGTAAAACGAGCAGCGACAATCAAGAGAGGTTAGACTTCTATTTCAACTAAATGTCTGATAGTTTTTGACCCTTTTATCCGATCGACTTCTAATAAAGTGTGCATATAGTCGGGGTTTATAACGTTCAACTCGAACTATATTTAAAGAAACTATCCAGGAAACTTTAATCTTTGCAAGACATAATCCGGATTCCGTATCTCGGTTATTCGGCGTTTTTCATCTGGGATATTCTCCTTTTGTCGAGCACTTGATTTGCGGTACTTCATCAAGCAGCAGACAAAAGTATTCCGCATATCACCATCTACATATTTGTACAAGTCCCATTTCGTCCAAAGATTCGAGACTAGCGGCAGCCACCAAACCCTCCGTTGGAATTTCCAGAGAACAGTTTACAGAGAAACCTCTCTAAGTGCACTCTCTCTAAATGCACAGCCTCTCTAAATGCACAGCCTCTCTAAATGCACAGTTTGGCACGGTCCCGAGCTTGGGACTTAGTGATAAATGCACACCCTCTGTATTCTGCACGTGCAATGGTTTTTCCGGTCCCGTCCATATAAACTGTAATCCCTAAATGCACACACGTGATTGATGTTTCTATTGACCAATCATATTATTCATATTCTCTAATTGAAATTTGGATCATCGTTGTTAACTATCTTGTCGCAGTACAATCACTAATATTATTAATACATGCATCTTAGAAGTGAGTTGGAACAACGGATAGTCGTTGTTATAATTTGTACAATATAATGAGAAGGAAAATTTGGACAACGTGTAGTGAGTTTTATGATCGTTCTCTGTCAATTCGTCCGTATTAACGCACATATCTTTTAAAGGTAAATTGGGACAACATATACAGTATATACTAAAATAATTTACTTATTAGATGGATGTTGGAACAAATAGAGAATGGTATGCTTATAGATGAAACAAAGATGAATGTTCTTCAAGTCATTCAATTTATAACTAGAAGTTGGGATAAAATTACCGCGCGGAGAGTATCCGTAACTGTTAGCATCACACGAAGATTCTTTCCAATGCTAACAGAATGGAGATTGACATTATGGATGGTACAAGATTGATTTGAGCGAATTAATCAATAAGCTTCATGTCTCAGATCCAATGCAAGTTGATGAGTTTTTGTTTATGCCTGAAGAGAATATCGTGTAATGATATTCCTGATAATGACCAACTTATCAGAGAAATCGCTGAAATGTTTAAAAAAGATGTTGATGAGGGTAATGTCGAAGAAATGGATGACAGCACTGAGATTACAATTATTAGTGCCAGTAGTGCTTTGAAAAGCTTAGAAAATGTACGCTTATTTTTGTTACAGCAAGACAACACAGGTGAACATATAAGATTGTTAAACAATCTTGAAAGATTTGTTAGTGGGAAAAAAGTAGTCAAATGAAACAACTACCATTTTAATGATTAAATAATAAATTGATATTAATATCCATATTATTATTACTATTAGTTCCGTATGTTACACAAATTGCCATTTTCTCTAAATGCACACCCTCTCTAAATGCACACAATCGTCTGGTCCCAAGGGTGTGTATTTAGAGAGGTTTCTCTGTAACTGCTTTTGTTATTAATAGAATACCTTACCGTATCGCATATTGATTCGAAATATTTATGCAGAGACCACTACATTATTACAAAGTTCTGAATCAATTAATGCGTAACTGCAAACGTGAGTAGAAAGAAACCAGTCCTTTAATTATTACGTAGAATATTTATTTTTAGAATTCTAGTACAAAAAAGAGGATAATCTTTGATTAAAAGAAAAAAAAAGACAGAAAGAATCATTGTAATAGCTATTATTAAAGCCTGCAGTTAGGGCTGTGCGATCAGGCATATGAAATTCTTTAATAGCTAGTCAAACCGGCTTAATGTCAGGTTATTTTTGGTCCGAGAACGATTGTTTCTATGTTGTTTGCATACATGATTAGAAATACTATGAGACAATGTACGCCAATCGATCAGACTAAGAAGAATCTGACAATAAATGAAAGACAAATAAATTAATCTTTCTGTAATAATGCTCATCAGCGCAACTCGGTAAAAAACTTTTCGACTTGGCCGCATCAGGTATGTGAAAATTCGGCTGTTGACCTGCTAAATATATCGTTTCCTTTTTTAAATAGTGCTTCCGATGTAATAATGCATTCATTAATCACATGGAATGCCGTAAATCCATATCTAAATCAATCAATAATTTGTGCAGGACCTCGTTAAATGTAACGTGTGTGAGCCATAATTCTGATAATGTTGTCATACCATGAGCGACTGTTTTCTCGCAAAATATTAATAGTAGCGGTAAATAAAGTCTCCAATTAGATATCCGACCTATAAATGGTTACACTATTCTTAATAAAGTAAAGTTGGTAGTACTTGTTTAATACTCTGTGCCCACTGTTTGATTATGCACACTTTGAATATGTATCGTTGAGCGTAAAACTTGAGATCCTTAAAAATGTCTCAGCGACAGAAATGAAATATTTACATTAGATTTCGGGACCAAACTTCCATGCTGGAACTAGTTTGAGTATTAACATCGTTCACAGTGGCTTTTTTACCAGAATCAAATGAGTTAACTTTACCATACAAAGAGTAACGTCGTCGCTTTTCATAAACTCATTAACCGTCCGAGTTCTAAGGTAGTTGTGTTTGATTAAAAAAACCAATTCACATAATAATGTTGAACAAAGGATCAACTTAAATTGTTCGTATGCTATCTAATCTTACTCATGATTGGCTGGTGTGCATATATCCATTTAGTGAGCGTGGGAACTGAATGGATTACACAAATTGTACTTGGCAGTTTCCTTTTATCGTTAAGTCGTTCCGTGTGACTTCCCCACGGTTGTCGCTTGATCATAATTTCCCAGATAAAAATAGCAATTATTTTCAAGCGCACAGTGTAATCTAATTTCAACATCCCTTTATTGTCAGCTGTATTGTGATGTTGGCTTAACAGTGGCATGACATCACATCGATTATCGCTGATCAGCTGTGAGAAAAAAATTCTTCTAACGACACGTCAAATTTTGATCAAATATAAAAGACGCTCTCCATCTTTTGTCATTACCCAACAACCAAGTTTACATTTCCTTGCATTAACAAAGAAAAAACGAGAAGAAAAAATATCAAAAGATGAAAATCCAATTCACCGCCACCTTTGCTATCGTACTCTTGGCTTTGACCAGCTATACTCAAGCACAAGGACGATTCTTCCCTGTACCAGGAGGACCCTGCACAGTCTGTAAGTTTATACAGACAAAACAAATATTTACGTTAATTCGATGTTTATGTTATTTGATATTCTGTTTTCTTTAGTTCTTCAAGGAAATTTTGCACACCAAACTGGTAATGGAGTAAGCTCCGGCTGTTTCGGGCTCGATGAAACTGACCCTATTCGGACTATCAACGTTGGTCCAGCCGTGTCTAGCTGGACTCTCTTCTCTGACTTTAACTGCCAAGGGAACACACTTGCTAGTTCTGGTTGGCCTTTTCCACCCAATGGTTTTCCCGTATCCGCCAGATCGATCCAATTAAATTGCCCTTAATTCACATTCGCGCACTAGCAATTCTTATGGTTACTATTATGGTCAAAAGCGCATCATGTTTCATTGGTGATATTGTACTGTTGAACAAATAATTAGTATTTTACGTGTTATTAATAAAGGAACGATAAATTTAAAAATTTGTCAAACTTAACACTTGAATTTATTTATTATGTTTCCGGAAAGATCAGAATGTAAACTTTGTTTGTTTATGCAACGACTATCCTTGATTACATCATAGAAAGCTTGTTCGACTCGTAGAGCTTAATATTGCATCATTCGCTTTGTAGTATGCAACTTGATTCTCCGAATATTAACGCTAATGTCAATAACACCGAAATTATTTTTGGCACAAAAATTATGTGGAAAGACCATTCATTCAACTTATAATAGATATAGAATTTAGTGGCCACTATACTTGCTCGATGATTCTTTTATTTCATTCCGCGTTGATGATCGAGTTATTTAACCAGCTTTATACAGTTATAGTCTTTCCTTTACGGGACGCTCTTTACAAACCATAATTATTATTCAAAAAAACATAATATTGTGTCCTTTTTCTCACAGTTGTGAACTGCATAAATAATCTTTTTGAATTACGTCAGTTAGCATTACAGTATTTTTGTATCATCAGATCTGTCAGAGCATTTTCATTTTGATAGATAAACTCATCCACCCTGTCTCGGTTCAAAATCCAGTCACTCAGTCCGATGTCTACGACCAATAAAGTTGTCCCGTTGAGTTGAATACTACCAAACGGCATTCTGGATCTTGTATGACTCCATGAAGGGGAAGGAATCCAGATTCCGAAAACTTGGCATGATTTCTAAACTATGAAATAAAATAAAGACAAAGTCGGATTAAATAACGATTTAATTAATACTGGCAATAATAGCTTACCTCGGCAATAAGTAATTCCGGCATTTTATCAAAACTCTTAACACGTTTGAGTACCACTGTTTTTTGCATATTCTTCACTTCTAAATACCTTTTATATTTGGCAGTATAAACTAATCCATAACCACCAGATCCGATCTCTGTAATTTCATCAAAGTCGCTATATTGCATATACCGCATACGATCGTAAAGTCGTATAAATCTACTCAACAGTGCATATACGTCGTGGTAGAACACCAAGTAATATTCCCCAGTAGATGGCTCCTGAGTCATCCCAATTATCCAAATGTTATCCGGTGTTAATATTTCCGGGTATTCCTTGGTTAGCTATTTGAGTAACAAATGCAGTTATCAAAACACAAGTTGGTTAACCGGCGATACACACTATTGCATTGTTACACATGAACGTTTACCTGATGAAAATTAAATGATGTATCATTTTGTTCGTCAACTATCTTTTTAAGTGTCACATGTGTCAATTCATTCGTTTTCGGTTCTAACCATTTTGCTGTATGTGTGCATCCATGGCGTAATGATGTCATCTCTCGTACGTTTGTTAATTGAAAGTATTCTATCTATTGTAGATAGGCATCGTATTGATTACACATATTACTCCATGACTCCATAATAAATGAATCCAATGGCTTGTTGCCTGTAGTCCAATCTCGTAGTCTTAATGTTTTACAAAAATGACAGAATTCGTTTATATGATGTACCGGAGTCGCACATTTCAGACATGGGTGTCCTTAACTTACACCCCCCCCCCCACCACTATACGAACGGGTTAGTGTATAGAGAGCTCAATCAACTTATCAATTGGATATTAAGGACTAGTACCCAGGTCAACGGAATGCATTT